GAAACCTTAAATTAGAGTGAATAAATGAAGACTCGGCACACCACTTCTGAAAGGTTGCCTGACCCCTGGACTAACCTGACAAATAAATTGTTCTAAACTCTGTTGTCCAGTCATGCATAGAATAAATGCAGACCAGTGTCACTACAAGAAATTAGATATAAAATGTTCTGCATGTCAATCAAACTTTTCTGTTTCCGGTTTTAGAAACATGTTTTTATATCGATAGAAGTAAATCTTAGTGCTTGCTAATCCATTGCTAAGTATATCCAGTTCTATTTTAAGAAATGTTTGGGGCTTTTTTAATTTTAGGTTCAACAGTCTCCAACTCTTGCTCCTAGAGGAAAGTTTTCTCAAACAGGTAAGCAAGTAAATTCTCTATCTACTTTAACAGATCAACAGGAAAGAGAAGGGGGACACCTATAAAAGCTTACCTTCCAAAAAGTTCTAAAGTGTCCTTCCTGAGCTTTGCCTCTGCATTCAAGAGTCTCTCCTCTATGTAGAAACTAAGTAAATGAATTGGTAGAAACATGATGTCCATCCCTAATATGAGTTTTATATAGAATAGAAAGATAGCAACTAGGTTATTCTCTTTTTATCCTGGTAGGACTTATTTCAACAGCGCTTCTCCTGGCGTTAAGTAAGAAATAATACACGACAGAAAATGTTGTTATGCTATATGCACATACACTGTGTTGGGGAGCACAGGGCAGAACTTCACAGAAGTAGTGGCTGCTACAGTAAAACTGACTCCCAACTGCTAGTGATCAGTTTCCATTTTTGCTTCTATCTCTTTCCAAGAATCAGATACCAAAATTGCAAATATTAAGGTAAGGAGGTTAAAATACAAATAGAAAAATAAGTCCTTACCACATCTTTTCTCAACTAACTTCACTTTCTATGGAAATGGGATCAAAAGGTGGGTACAGATAGACCAAGGGAGGTATACAAAGCAACAGGGGGACAGTATTGGTTAGCATGATAGGCTGTTGTCTCAGCAAGCCTGACGACTATCTAGTTTTTTGTAGGCTTCACAGGCAAGGAGAGTTTTTATGAAGTGATTTTTGTTTTATTACTTCCCATGGCCCAAGTAGTATTTTCAAATGTATATAACTATTAAATAAAAACAGTGTTTTTTTCAAACCTAATCAAGGCATTACACTTCAGTGAGGCTAGTTCCATGCTATGTTTGAAACTTCAAAGTCTGGCTTAAAAATGGCTATCTGCATGGGGGTTCATTGTGGGGAGAGACTTAGTGTTCAGAATAGGAAATAGGGTTTGGAGGCTTTTCTGTATAACAAAAGAGAGAGAAACACAGTTGATTCAAATTTCCCACAACCCTCCCCCCTCCCCCCCCACAAAAAAAATAATCTTCTTTGGGCAAAACTTTAAGTGTGGAAAATGTCACAAGAATTTTTCAGACGGTTATGAGCATGTGATGCTGGATTTATAACTGAAACTGTTTTGCACCAATTACTATAGTGGTTGTTACTGGATCAAGATTTTTTTTTGGCTTATTATACAGGTTCAGAGCAGAATTTGTTTATATACTTTTATTGAAGCTTTATAGCAAAGCTGGAGTATCCATACTATATGGACTAGATGACCCCTCGAGGTCCCTTCCAATCCTATGATTCTACCATTCTATATTTTAAAGAAAAAGTACCATCTTGGGGGGTACTTTAACACAAATCTGTGTTTTGTTAAATCTCTTACAAAACTGTACTGAAATGTTAATGTATTCATAGTTTAACACAGCAAAATGAATGAACTCCGTTCACATTTTATTATTTATTTGTTCATTAGAAGGTTTATTTTGCAAGGTATATTGTATACATACAATATGATGGGGGCTAATTTAGCTACAACTAATCAGGAAAGAGATCTTGGAGTCATCGTAGATCATTTTCTGAAGACGTCCACGCAGTGTGCAATGGTAGTCAAAAAAGCAAACAGGATGTTAGGAATCATTAAAAAAGGGATCGAGAATAAGACAGAGAATATCTTATTGCCCTTATATAAATCCATGGTATGCCCACATCTTGAATACTGCGTACAGATGTGGTCTCCTCATCTCAAAAAAGTTATACTGGCATTTGAAAAGTTTCAGAGAAGGCCAACTAAAATGAGTAGGGGTTTGGAATGGGTCCTATATGAGGTGAGATTAAAGAGGCTAGAGAGGAGACTAAGGGGGGATATGATAGAGGTATATAAAATCATGAATGGTGTGGAGACAGTGAATAAGGAAAAGTTATTTACTTGTTCCCATAATATAAGAACTAGGGGCCACCAAATGAAATTAATTGGCAGCAGATTTAAAATAAAAGGAAGTTCTTCTTCACACTGCGCACAGTCAACCTGTGGAACTCCTTGTCGGAGGAGGTTGTGAAGGCTAGGACTATAACAGGGTTTAAAAGAGAACTAGATGAATTCATGGAGGTTAAGTCCATTAATGGCTATTAGCCAGGATGGGTAAGGAATGGTGTCCCTAGCCTCTGTTTGTCAGAGGGTGGAGATGGATGGCCAGAGAGAGATCACTTGATCATTACCTGTTAGGATCACTCCCTCTTGGACACCTGGCATTGGTCACTGTCGGTAGACAGGATACTGGGCTGGATGGACCTTTGGTCTGACCCAGTATGGCCGTTCTTAAGGACTAATCTCATACGTTTGTTACATATCTATATTAAATATAATTATGCAGGTCTTTGAATGTTAATAATAAATTTCATTCACAATTCGAGCTTTTTCATTAAATCTATTGACTTAACTTCAACACACTTAAATATGTGTTTATAGTTTTAGAATATGTTTCTGCTCATACAATCTAATAATTTGGATAGCTAGATGTCCTTTCTATATATGCTATGACAGATAAGCAGATGGACTAATAGGATGATCAAACTTTGTCAAACCAAATTGGCAAAGTCGAGGAGTGGGATTTTCTCATGCCTGGCAGACAGCAAAGAGAGCTAGTAGTTCTGTAGAGGGGGAAAAAAAGACAATAATTTGCTTTTGTCATGAGCCGCCTCCTTTCTGTTAAGAGGGATTTCTACCTGCACCATTATGCAGATGGTGCCAACTGGCAAAATTCTCTGCCAGGGATGGAGTAGACTTTGTTCCAACACAGAGTTGGGCAGGCCAAAGTTAGAGGTTGTAAGCACCCACTACAGTGACAGCACATTTAAAGGATAAATGGACACAAGTCAGATATCAGGAATGGCAATATACAAAAACCTGTAGGAGAACACTTCAACCTCCCTGGCCACACAATAGCAGATGTAAAGGTAGCCATCTTACAGCAAAAAAACTTCAGGACCAGACTCCAAAGAGAAACTGCTGAGCTTCAGTTCATTTGCAAATTTGACACCATCAGATCAGGATTAAACAAAGACTGTGAATGGCTAGCCAACTACAGAAACAGTTTCTCCTCCCTTGGTGTTCACACTTCAGCTGCTAGCAGAGGACCTCACCCTCCCTGATTGAACTAACCTCGTTATCTCCAGACTGATTCTTGCCAGCATATTTATACCTGCCCCTGGAAATTTCCATTACATGCATCCGACGAAATGGGCATTCACCCACGAAAGCTTATGCTCCAATACATCTGTTAGTCTTAAAGGTGCCACAGGACTCTCTGTTGCTTAGCACATATATAGTTTCCCTTTCAGGCCTGGGAGTTGCTCCTTAGGATAGTTTGCATGTTGGAGATTGTATATGCATTTTTAAAACATGCACTACAGTCCTTCAGGAATATTAAATGAAGGATCCAGTCTACCTTTACATGAATAGTCCCTTTTGATTAATGCATGAGTTGCAGTCAGACCCTAAAACTCTGTCCTTTTCTGTTGCTGCCATCCTCATCCATTAGATAGCAATTGAAATATTTAAATAACTTTGCTTTTTCATTAAAGTGGAATGGCATTTACTACTGATTTTAAATCAATAAATGCAGTAAATACAGTGTCATGTGACCTAAAAATCTTAATTTTAAAGAACTGAATATTTTTAATGAATAGACCATTTCTCTTTTCAAAAGACAAAAAAAGCCTGTCTTTTGTTTGCAGTTGGTTGGCATCCCTGCTGGAAAGAGAGCCTTTAAATGCGTTTCCGACTACTTTGGTGATGTTTATAAAAAGCCAACAAACTGAGTTTGGAAACTTCTTTTTTAAAAAGATTGATTAGTAAAGGGATTTGAAGTTCAGTTTTACATTTGGGTAGAGTTCTTACAGTGTTTCTCCTTTTTAGCTAAAGACACGTCTAATAAGAAAGAAACAGCAAATGTAAGTGCAAGCATTTTTACAGAAAGCCTCTAAAAGCCGTATACTGAAAAATGGCCCACTTTCTCACATTTCATTAGTCCTGTTTGCTTTCATTTCATTATCTCAGGAGGGTGAGGCGGGAAAAGCCGAGATGATAGTGCGTCGAAGAGGAAGAAAGCCCAGATGCTCTGTGATTCCATCAGAGGAAACTGGTAAGACATGAAATTGTGCTGCTCTTAACAGACTGAAGAGTTTACTGTGCCTAGGTATACATTAAATTGTAACAAGATCAGCTTTATTATGTTTTCCTTTCATTAGGGAAAAAATCATTGGGTTACAGCTAGTGTAAATATTATGTAAATTGCTGTAATCTCATGTCAGAATTGTTACATCCCAGATGTTTCTATAAACCCCCATGAATTTTGTATGAATTCTGGCTGTGAACTGCAAAAGTAAACTATTGAGAATGTGTTTGAGAGATTAAGTCAAACAAGTGTGAATTAAAAGTGTTGAAGGATGAAGGAAACGGAAAATTACTTATTTTACTACAAGTCCCATTTTAAATGCCTTTTCTAAACTAAGTGTCTATATCCTTTTGAAGGGCCTTTCATGAAATTATAACACATTTAAAATTTGTCATGAACAGAAATACTGGAGCCGGAAAGAAAACGTCGGAAGTTGGCATCTGCTGCTGAAGAGGAAACGAAAGAACAGGAGGAGGAAGATGATGAAGATGATGATGATGAAGATGATGAAACACATTCTGGAGCCACAACTAGATCAGCCACGAGATTAGAGGCTCAAAAGTAATATTCAGCTAGCTGGTATTTTTAGAAGACATTGCCACCAATTTTCTGACACACACAGTTAACTAACCTCTTTTTTAAAAAAAAATAGTCTGATATTGAAAAATCTGTCAGCCCTACAAAACAGGACAGTAACACTAGTGTTAAAAATCCCAGCTCCTCAACAGGTTGACCTACAAATTGCAACTCTAAGGTTTTCTCTATTCTACACAACCTATGTCACCATTGCTATGCCAGCATCGCCCCCAGTATAGAGACAGCCTACACTGACAGAGTTTTTTCTGTTGGTGTAGTAACTTCACCTCCCCGAACACGATTAGTTATGTTAACAGAAGCACTCTTCCATCTGCATAGTTGCATTTACACTGGCAATGCACACCCTGACCAATGTAACTATGCAAATACAACTTTTACGTGTAGACCAAGCACAAAGCAATGTCTTTGCAATTGAACGCTAATATTTTGTGCCATCCTCCATTCATCCTGGAAACTGACATGCTTTTCAGTTCTCACAGGAATGAAACCAGCAGGGAGAATGGTGGGAATGGTAAAGCATGTTTACCAGTAACTGGAACAAATATGTTGTTGAGTTACATGTATAAAGAGCTGAGATTTTAATACTTTAAAGTTTCTTTTTAGCTACAACACTTAGTTGTGTGTGTGGTGTGGGGACTTATCCCTTATAAATATTGTACCTCATGTCATCATAAAGTGAGCTCTGGTATCATCTATAGCAGTTGTAGATGTACTGAAGTTGTCATTAGTTTAGTCCTCTCTCAGATTGTCATGGTATCTAGTGACTTTTTGCTTAATTAAGTTGGAGACTCTGAATCACAGTGCCAGGCTTTTTTCTATCATATGCTGTCATATTACTCAATGGTAGTCAAGTTAAGAAAATGCAATAGGGGAGAGAATAGAAACTATCTAGAAATTACATGTTCAACCACCATAAGATGTAAAGCCCTACCCCTTCTAGAGGAGGGCAGCTAGATATGTGCTGACAAACATTTCACATCCATAATGACTGCATCCCATCTGCTTGTTACATCTTGGATTCCTGATAAGGAATTGATTCTAGTAACGAGTGAGTTGTTGCCTTTTGGACTGGCACCCATGCAGTATGTGTCCCTAAGATGTTTAGTGGTCATAGAAGAATATGTTCTTGCCAACATTAGGGCGCTGCAGTTAATAAGTTCATAGATCTAAAATCCCCTTTTATCCTTGTGTAATAATGTAGTATATAGAAATACTGATAAAGCTTTTAGATGAGCCGTGTTTAATTCACCCTGAAAAAAGTCCAGGACATCACGGAGGTGACAAGAAGAATTCACCTGAGTCAGCAAGTTTCTGCAAGGCCCATGCTCTGGATGTTGAACTTGATGGCTACTATAGTGGTCATAATACCACACACACACACACACCAATGTTCCACAGGCGATACTGGTATTCTTGCTGCATTGAGGAAACTAGCTGCTTCCAAGATACTCTGTGTTGTGGCAGTGCAAAGAAAATTTTCAGTATGGAAAGGCCTGCCAAACTACTCCAATCCAAATTGTAGTAACCCTGTTCTTGGGATGAGGAGCCCAAATAAAGGGAAGGGTACTTGGTCTCTCCAGAAGTCCAACTTTATATAAAAGTCCTGCAGATGAGGTCATGTCCAATTTTGGACTATTCCAAAAGGTGTATTTCTTATTCAAGCAGACAATTAGGCTACCGTCTATTATTACATCAGCAAACTTGGATGGACAGTCTCTCTTCTCAAGAATCAAGAAGACCTGAAGATTCCCAAAATACACTTATTTATATCAGGCATGAAAGAACTAATCCCAGCCCTTCTTCATAGCCCTCCTGATAGGGGTTTCTCCCGAGTTTGAGGCCAAGAGAATCTGGGTGATCTAGTAGGCAAGCAAGAGGCCTCTGACTCAGTTCCATGCCGTTTTTCTTTTGTACCTCGAGGCCATGAGAAGAAAAGGAGACAGCACCACAATTGTCAACTGCCATTTCTCTTCTAAGAATTATAGGGAAAAATGAGGACACAGCACCAATCTGCAGTGCTAAAGCAAGAAGTTTTCATTCTAGTGACCCCTTGAGATTAGAGAGAGAACTTATTTCCTGATGCCAAAAGTTAAATGGTACCACGAGCACTGCCCGAGAGACTAACCTCAATATCTGTCTTTGCTGATGGATGATCTGGTGCATTTTAAGGGCTATTCTCAGTGCAGCCAAACAAAAGTTCATTTCTAGTCTTCTTGATGTTGAGCATAGGATTCCCATGGAACCACAGAATCCAGTCTCAGGTTTGACTAACTCAGAAGATCCTATCTTGGTTCCATTTTCAGTGACAACGTACTCTGACACCACCATCTTCATTGGGATTCTAGTAATCACTATCTTGGCTTCATTTCTGAGGACCTCATTTTTACCTGTATGGGACTCAACTGGTGCTCAGACCACACCTTTAACAGCAATGTTCTCTGGCCCTCAAGATCTTATACGCAGAACAGAAGAACAGTCATCCAGTTGTTGTTTGTCTGTGAATCCCCCAAGAGGAGTTATCTATACTGCTAACATCAACACACCCAAGACCAGATACTTGCTCATAACTAAGGTTCTTCTTCAAGTGCTTCCACATTAGATGTGTGCACACTGTGTCCATCATTGCCAGAGATTTTCCCTCAGTGGTATCCGTTGGGCCAGCTCTAGTGCCCTCTGGAGCCGTGTGCTCATGCACTGGTATAAGGGGCGCCGCAGGCCACTCAGCCTCTCAATTTTCCTTCTTCCCGCCCGTGATGTTGCTGGAACGATCCCTCTTGCTTCAGCAAGGCTTCTTCCCAGTGGATTTTGGACTCTGATTCTTAGCTCTTGTTTTAAACATAGCTTTAGTGCATATAGAGATTGTAGTTTAGAGGTAGTGTAAATAGTGTCGCTAGGGACTAGTTATCATCGAGGGTCTCTGTTCGTCCCAGGGACCAGGTATGTGGAGTCCCTGGGCTTCAAACCTTGTGCCTCCTGCAGCAAACCTATGCCCATGAGTGACCCACGCTCAAGTTCTTTGAAGTGCTTGCAAGAAACTCACATGAGGGACAAGTGCCAGATTTGTCAGGACTTTAGACTCCTCACTAAAAAGGACAGAGAAATAAGACTCAAGGTTATCCTAATGGAAGCTACTCTCAGACCAACCTCAGAGCAAAGCTGCTCCAATTCTGCACAGAGTACTTCGGCGTCGGTGCAAAGCGCTCTTCCCCGCACCGCTCACCATCTCCCACTGCAAAGGAAGAAACACAAAAAGCAGCGCACTGATGGTGGGTGCTCACCAGTGCAAAAAAAGACAAACATGGGGAAGGCAGCACGGTGCGACCCACACCGTGGTCACCGAAGGAGGACTCTTAGGCTGCACGTAGGGTTCCCCTTCTGAGTCAGACAAGAGTCACCCCCCCTATACCCTGTGCATAATTTAAAATTAAAGATAAGCACAACAAGAATAAAGGACAAACCTCAATTCTGGATTTCTTAAAATGTATTCTTCCTTACTCCCAAATTTGCAGATGTCATTTTGCATTGACAGTATTGATCCACTTGTGGCAAATGCCATATTGTTTTTTAATTTCCTGTACTTATTACAGATGCATGCTGAATATGATTGGATTATTTTGCTGTATTCATTCATCATTTTTATAAAAAGTTTTCTGTTAACGTTTCAGAAAGCAGCCAAGCAAACCAACCACCCGTGCAGCTTCTAAAGGCAACAGCCCAAGTCCAGTTTCTCCTAAAAAACAGCAAAATTCAGCAGCAAAGAAGAGGTCGCCTAGTGAGGCAAAAGTTAGCAAGTCTCCTCCATTGGCACAGTAAGTATGAAAATGGAAGCATCTTTTACTGTTTGTTTTGGATGTCATCAAATTGATCCTTTTTTTGGTATCTATAATTTACTACAACGCTGAACTGCAAAGCAAAAAGAAAGGTGGGGTTTGCCTTTCTCTGATATCCCAAAACTGTTTCAAAGGACTTTTCCCCATTTTTTTTTTCTGTGTGTTCTTTTACATTTGAAATATCAGATCTTTTCTTCCCATTCTGTGCTGGAGGATCTTGGAAAGTACTTGGGAGAGCCTGATTAATAATGTCACACAAGACTTTAATCTGAGCTGCAATTCTTTGTGGACTAGAGAAGATGCTGGGGCCAGGAGAACTGCAATTCCGGTTTCAGCAGCATGTGACATACTCAGATTCTCCAAAAAGATTCCCTCTTTCTGTCGGATGAACTTGGGAAGGGAGCCTTTGAGATTCTTAATATTTCAAGTTTTAAAAAATGGCACTGGGAGGAGAGGGAAGGAAAGCATTTTTTTCCATTTTTAAGTTTGAGGCTATCTCTGTGTATGATATGGGAGCAATAAAGGGCACAAATAATTGTTTACCTCTACAGAAACCCTCTACAGTACTGTTTACCTCTACAATATTCCTCCATCCACTGTGTGGCATTGGGAGCACGCACACTGCTTAAATAACCTGCAGCAATAGTGACAAGCACATATTGTATACAGACAGTTAGAGGCTGCATTTCAGTTTACATTAAGTACTTTGTGATGGCCAGTAGTTTGGGTCGTGGTCATGTGTGGTTAGGGCTAAGGCATGATTGGCCTACACGTGCATGCACAAAGGGGAGTGTGTAAGGTGCCTTTCCATTATGCCCTTTCCTGCACAAGAGACACGAGTCAGTTGCTGTTCTTTTACTGTCTTGAGTGAAGGAACTTGAACCCTGCTTGTGTCTTTCTGGGGCACAAGCCACCCCCCAAACAATGGGGAAGAGAAAGGGACATGGTCCCACCACCTATTTTCTCTGCACCAGCCAATAGAACTGGCTGGCTATTGAGGGTGAGTATATGTAGCATCCTTCTAAGGCGTGGTGGAGTGGGTATAGTCCCCCTACATGCTGTGCAACTGAGGGAGGTGTTGGGCACTGGGGAGTTGAGACAGTATCTCCTGGCATCTCCCCCGGGAATGGAGAAGTGTGCCTCTAAGCAAGTGTGCCTAAAACCCCTTTGAAAATATAAACTATTATAAAAATTCTAAGCATTATTAATAATTGTTATAACTTCTAGGTTAAAGATACAGACTAGCAAGCGTAAAAGGGAAACCAGCCCACCAGCGGTACGCAGAAAAGGCCAGCTGAAAGTGGACGAAACGCCATTAAAGAAAACAAAGCGATAATTGTTACCATCTGATAATATTCATGGAAAAGTTGAAAGAAAAGAGAGTGGTCTCTGCTTCTGTTTTGTTGTGTTAAAGCAAAGGGATTTGCATGTGCTTGTTTCTGAGCTCTAAGTTAATAGATGCAGAACTTAAGTTACATTTTAAACAGTTTTATAAACTATTGTTTATACAGAATATTATACAGATTAAAAAATAAGTTTACTTTGTATCTGAAAGAAAAACAAAATAATTACAGATTTTAACACTGACTCAGAAAGTTGGGATTTCCCAATGTGACATGCTAATACAGATGCTTCCACTCCACCAGGCACTAAGGGCCTACTAATATTCTTTGTATATAAACTTGTAAAAATAGGTTGTATTTTACTGTGTATGAATCTAATCAATGATGAACACTTTATTTATTGTATGGAGAGGACTGGTCTGTAAACTTTAGTATATACCTTAGGTTTTATTAATGATATTTTAAATTCTATGCAGCCATCAGTAGAAATCTTCTTTTTAGGGCTGTCTAAAACCCGAAGTTCTCTGAAATATGCTCAGACAGTTGGTAAAGTATTCTCTCGCATGTATTAAAGTAGATTAGCATAGTAAAGGGGACTCTCTCTTCCTTTTCTGTTCACATTCATAACTATGTATAAAATAGGCAGTGTCCTCTTTCCAGATTAACTTGTCATCTCTGAATTTTGTACCAACCTCAAAGTAGTAAAAGGCTAGTAGTAGTTTAGCTTTACTCAGACCATTTCAGCCAAAACTACTCTGAAGTACAACATTTTATTTCACAACTTAACTGTTCTTTCAGTGTTTGTCTTTCAATGAAGAGGGACCCATAGAAGTGATATTTAACTTCAAATAACTATGGAGCTTCAGCATTTTATGTTACGTTTTATACACAGGTATTAAAAAAGTAGAACTTGGTATTATTGCCAGAATCTTTTTTTAATGTATATTAACTCCCGTAAGAGCAAATGTTCAAGTTAAGTTTTACATAGTTAAGCTTTTCTTAAGATCAAATTTGTCTCTTGCAATGATATGATGAGTTGCCAAATAATCCGAGATTATTTTAAAATGTTTTGTTCATATTCTTGTTTTATAATTAAAATTAGCATTCTGTTTTGTTTTTGTTTTTTTACTCATTATTGTAAGGCGCATATTTCTGTCAGATATTCTACTTGATTTCTTACTGAGATTTTATATATAAATTATAAAATGTTTCCCAAAACCTGAGTTGCAATATTTGTTATCTTTAAATTTCTTAATTGTGTCACTGTATTTGTTTGTATTGTATTTACAATCAACTTGGATGGACTTACTCACATGAGTAATGATTTGCATAATCAGTTCCTTTATAAAGTCTCTGTATCACGCCATCTAGGTATCATATATTTACTACAAAAATAATTTGGACAACTCATTAAGTGAATCCATGTCCTGAAATTAAAGAACTCCTCCAGTGAACTGATTGTTATTCAGACTTACTGAATAGTCTTAAACTTTTTAAGGTCTGTCTTAGGCCCCAGTTCAGCAAAGCATCGAAGCACATGCTTAAGTCCTACTAAAGCCAATGAGACTTGAACACATGCTGAAAGTTAAGCACATGCTTAAGTGCTTTGCTGACTAGAGACTGTCTGCAGAATGAGGGCCAGAGTGCCCTAAAGACTGATGGAGTGATGCTCTAGCACAGGAACAGAGGAAGCAAGTTGCAAAGACAAGTTTGCCCTCTGCCAGTTCTGGAAAGACAAGTTCCTAGTGGGGCTGAAAGGAATTTGCTGGGGGAGATGGTAATACAAATAAAAAGCTTCTAAATTCATACTTAGATTCCCTAATTGCCCTCAGTTTATAACATTCAGGCCTTTCTAGGTTAGCAATTTTAACAATCCCTACGTTCCAAAGGGTTGTCAATAAAAGATCACTTGAAGCTGCCATTTCAACAAGCCGATGTGAGCTGGTGGAGCAGCAATTGGTGAAACCTACTGTCTCTGCAGAGCAGGATCCCACATAGGAGGAAGCAGCGTAGGTGATGCACAAAGCAGCTAGAATGAAGTTTGTTGCTGGCACTGCAGTGCTTGAAAAAGCAGTACCTGCTCAGTAGCTGCTTTTCATGCCTGCAGCTTCTCCGATAAGAACATATTTTCTTAGTGTGTGGGTTATTTTAAATAGCCTGTGACATCCACTCCATATGAAGATGTACACTAAATCACATGTGGTGTGTGTTCAGAATTTTGCTTGAGCAGTCTGAATGCCCCAATGCTCTCCTGATTTCCCTCAGAATTTCCCAGAAATGTAATAAGAAACTGGCCCAGAAAGCAAATGCCTCAAGCATCTAAGCTGGTCATGACTATCAACAAGTGCCCACTTTGGTGTGGGTCCAACATCAATCCCACACTTGTACTTTTCAGACCATTAATACTTCAACCAGCTTTACACTCTAGCTACCTTGATCTCCATCAGTGAGGTCTGCAGTAAGAAAAGACCACTTTACTCCCAAGCCATCTCTTCTGCCCTTTGCTTCTGGAAGCAAACCGCTGGGATCTCTACTTTCTCCAGACCACTTCATTAGTCACTGTCCTGAGTCCAGGACATACTGTATAGCTTGTTGACTTCCTTCCAACACATGGCTTTAGCTGCATTGACTTCAATGGAGTAATACCCACTTATACCAGCAGGACTGAATTTGGCTAGTAGCTTTTAATTCTCTTCCTATCAGAGAGTATGTCTCCACTTTGGGTTTTTTCAATACACATGTCTTTAAGTGAACATAAGAATGAACAGACTGGGTCAGATCAATGGTCCATCTAGTCCAGGATCCTAAATTTTGGCAGTGGTTGGTGCCAGATGCTTCAGTGGGAGTGAACAGAACAGGGCAATTTATTGATCCAGTCTCAGCTTCTAGCAGTCAGAGGTTTAAGGACACCCAAAGCATGGGGCTGCATCTCTGACATCTTGGCTAACAGCCATTGATAGAGCTATCCTCCATGAACTTTATCTAATTCTTTTTTTAACCCAGCTATACTTTTGGCCTTTACAACATCCCCTTGCAATGAGTTCCAGGGGTTGATTGTGTGTTGAGTAAAGAAGTGCTTCTATATGTTTGTTTTAAACCTACTGCCTAGTAATTTCATTAGGTGACTCCTCACCACCACCATCTAGTTCTTGTATTACATGAAAGGATAAATAACACTTCCTTATTCACTTTCTCCACACCATTGATGATTTTATAGACTTGTTACTAATCTGCCTGCTGAGTAAGGCAAAGTACATGGGGCAGGTGTTAGGTTCACTCCCTCTGGGGCACCTGACATTGGCCACTGTCGGTAGACAGGATCCTGGGCTGGATGCACCTTTGGTCTGCCCCAGTACGGCCGTTCTTATGTTCTTAGGGCTTGTCCCATGATGGAACAAGCACCCCCCGCCCTGCTGCAGTCCAAGCAGGCTGGAGGCACTGCGGCACCTGACTCCCGTTGAAATCTCTGGAAGTTAAACACCTAAATCCGTTGCAGGCACTGAGACTCAGCCCCCTGCTGCTTTGGGGGAGGAAAAAAGTCCCTGAGAAGCTTCCCAAATCAATGTGACCTTTTCTGTTTCGTCTCCCCTTAAATCATCTCTTTCCCAAGCTGAACAGTCCCAGTCTTTTTAATCTCTCCTCATATGGAAGCTGTTCCATACCCCTAATAATTTGTGTTGCTCTTTTCTGCACCTTTTCCATTTCTAATATATCTTTTTTGAGATGGGACAATAAGGACTGCACAGTATTCAAGGTATGGGCATACCATGGATTTATACAGTGCATTATATTTTGTTGTCTTATCTATCTCTTTGCTAATGGTTCCTAACATTTTTAGCTTTTTTGACTGCTGCTACACATTGAGCAGATGTTTTCAGAGAACTATCCATGAGGACTTCAAGATCTTTCTGGAGTGGCAACAGCTAATTTAGACCTCCATCATTTTCTCTGTATAATTGGGATTGTTTTCCAATGTGCGTTACTTTGCATTTATCAAGATTGAATTTTGTTGCTCAATAGCCCAGTTTTGAGCCATCCCTTTGTAACTTTTCGAAGTCTGCTTTGGCCATAACTATCGTGAGTAATTTTGTATTATCTGCCAACTTTACCACTTCATCACTTACCACTGTTTTCAGATCACTTATGAAAATGTTGAACAGTACAGGTGCCAGTACAGATCCTTGGGGAACCTCGCTATTTGCCCCTCTCCATTGTGAAAACTGACTATTCCTACCCTTTTCCTATCTTTTAATCAGTTACTGATCCATGAGAGGACCTTCCATCTTAGCCCATGACTCCTTACTTTGCTTAAGAGCCTTTGATGAGGGACCTTGTCAAAGGCTTTCTGAAAATCTAAGTGCACCATTATCCCTTGGCTTCCCCTTGTGCATATTTGTTGGCTTGCTTGAAGCATTCTAATTAGGGCTGTTAAGCAATTAAAAAAATGAATCGCACTGTTAAACAATAATAGAATACCATTTATTTAAAATTTCTACATTTTCAAATATTTCAATTACAACACAATACAAAGTTTACAGTGCTCACTTTATATTTATTTTTTTATTACAAATATTTGCACTGTAAAAAACAGTATTTTCAATTCACCTAATATAAGTACTTAGTACAATCTCTTTATCATGAAAATTTAACTTACAAATGTCTAATTATGTACAAAAAAATAACTGCACTCAAAAACAAAACAATGTAAAACTTTAGAGCCTACAAGTCCACTCACTCCTACTTCAGCCAGTTGCTCAGACGAACAAGTTTGGTTACATTTGCAGGAGACAACAGTGCCTGCTTCTTTTTTACAAAGTCACCTGAAAGTGAGAACAGGCGTTTGCATGGCACTGTTGTAACTGGCGTTGGAAGATATTTATGTGCCAGATACACTAAAGATTCATATGTCTTCATGCTTCAACCACCATTCCAGAGGGTATGCTTCCATGCTGATGATGGGTTCTGCTCAATAACCATCCAAACCAGAGCGGACTGATGCATATTCATTTTCATCATCTCAGTCAGATGCCACCAGCAGAAGGTTGATTTTCTTTTTTGGTGGTTCAGGTTCCATAGTTTCCACATCAGTGTTGCTCTTTTAAGACTTCTGAAAACATGTTCCACACCTCATTCCTCTCAGATTTTGGACAGCACTTCAGATTCTTAAACCTTGGGTTGAGTGCTGTAGCTATCTTTAGAAATCTCAGATTGGTACCTGTAGTGGGGCAGCTGCCCCACTCCAGTAGGCAGGGGTTAAAAGCAGCCCTGCAAAGGGCTGTGGCTGGGAAAAGCAGTGAGAGCAGCTGACCACACATGTGGCCAGTTCAATCAGGGCCCAGCTGGCCCTGATAAGAGGGCTGGTGAGCCAGGAGCTGGAAGGAGGCTCACTCTAGCCCTGGAGTGGGAACGGCTAGCTGCCTGGGAGTAAGGTACCTGAAGCAGAGCAGTGCTGGGGAAGGGCAAAGGGAGCTCCAGCCTGGCAACTCCCCAGGCTGAGGCCTTGGGTAAGGCCAAAGCAGGTACTGGGGCTACAGAGGTGTAGCCTGGGGCTAGGCAGAGGCAGTTAGTTGTTCTCACTGTCAGCTGATGTAAATCAGAAGCAGGCAGCATTATCGCCTGTAAATGTGAACAAACGTAGCGATTGGCTGAACAAGAAGTAGGACTGAGTGCTAAAGTTTTACATTGTTTTGTTTTTGAGTTCTGTTATGTTAAAAAAAATCTACATTTATAGATTCCACTTTCTTGCTAGAGATTGCACTACAGTACTTGTATGAGGTGAATTGAAAAATACTATTTCTTATAATTTTTACAATGCAAATATTTGTAAACAAAAATAATATAAAGTAAGCACTGTACACTTTGTATTCAGGGGTGTAACAGAAATCAATATATTTGAAAATGTAGAAAAACATCCCTTTACAAAACCCTTGTTGACTCTTACCCATCATATGTTAATCTGTGTGTCTGATAATTCTGTTCTGTAGATTCAACATATACATAGTTTGACTGCTGTATGAAGGGGCACAGACTGAAGCCTGTTTCACTGGCTCTCTCCACCTACGTGGAGTGGTACCTGGGCTGCTGGTGCCAAGGGTGGGAGGAGAGGGAGAATGGGCTGGGCTTAACTGGAGAGCTCCTGCAGCAACCTGAGCGTGGGAGTTGTGGCACTCTGGTGCAGCTACAGCAGCTTTCCTGCTGTCCCCTGCCCCAGTCCCCTC